ATAAAATTTTATTTTAAAAACATTTAGATTTATTTGAAAAACAGTTTATTTATCTATATTTATTTTTCATTTATAAAAAATTTTTTAACAAGTTTTGGATCAAGTGCAAAAATAAAATAAAAAACTTAGATAATATTTTTAAAAAAAGTTTTAAACCATGATTCATTAGTTTAGTAATATAAAAGAACCCTTAGTTAGTGGTTCTGTAGAAGACCTGATAGAATTTCTACGCATTAAAGGCATACTCGAAAGGTATGTAAAGTGTGGAACATATCTTCTTGATATGAAAACGAAGCTATACACTAGAAATAGTGATAGTGTGGCGTTCAGGTGTTGTAATAGAAGTTGTAATGACTTTTCTAAGTATGTTTTAATACGCAATAAATCATTACTACCAAGATTCACTGTACCTCTGAGAGACTTTTTATTAGTGGCTTGTAAATGGTTTAATAACCATACTTATGTACAGATAGGTACTGAGGTGAATATTGGAAAAAAGTCAATTATAAAATTATTGATTTAATTCGTAATCAATGTTTTAAAAATGAGACAAAAAATCCGATTCGTCTTGGTGGTGATGGTATGATTGTCCAAATAGATAAAGGTTTATTTAGATATAAACAAAAATACCATCGAGATAGACAACTAACAAGAGAGGTTTGGGTATTTGGACTAGATGATTGTTCATTTACCCCAGCAAAAATCTCATTAATGTTGTTCCTAACAGGACTGCTAACACTCTACTACCAATAATAGAACGAGTTTGTGCCTCAGTAACGATAATCCACAGTGATCAGTAGAAAGCATATTTAGGCATAAATAGTAAATTAAGATTTGCACATTTCACTGTTAATCATAGTGAAAGGTTTGTAAATCACAATAACGGTGTTCATACTCAGAGCATCGAAAGTGTGTGGAACAATTGTAAATATGTTATTAAAATGTATAAGGAATTGTAGAATGTAAAATTAGACTAATTTTATCTGAATTAACTTAAAAAAAATTTTAGGTCTAAATAAAACTTTGGATGATTAATTGAGATTATTAAGATTTAATTAAATTTAGTTCTTTTAATTTATTTTTTATTTTTAAATTATT